TAAGGATGTTAATTAAATGAACAGATCCTCCATCACATACTTTTAACGTGCCCTAGAGTTTATTCCACTGCAAAATCGAAATTTCAGGCTTAGCCTACAAAACTCACCTGATTTTATAATGGATAAGGTAGCAGTATTTAGGGGGTTCTTTTTAAACAATGGTATCTACCATCCTCTTGCCCCTCCTCTCTCCAATCAAGCGTACAAGCCTTACTACAGAAAGAATACAACTCGCAACTGCCAACCAGAAAAACAAACACTACAAAAGCCTACAGTTTCATCAGAAATTAAATCATTTGCTCCTACACAGAACCGCACTGGTTTTCTGTCATAAAAACCATTAAATTACTCCATAGGCGTCACAGACTATCATTAAGATGTGTAAGGGTGCCAGAAGGCTCCGGGGAGCTGACTGGGGCTCGCAGTACTTAAAGCCTCATGGATCAGCAAGAACAATAAAAACTACAAGACTCAAAATGGTAAAGAGCTGCAGACCTGACACCATCTGTAGGTACAGCACAGATCTCAGAAATGTGGATAGCCACTCGAGCTCAAGGTGGCAGAGCAAGCGCAGCAGAGGCAGCGGATCATGTGCATGGAGCAGCAGATGGAGCAGAAGCGGCAGGAGCCATGCTGGCTCAATGTGGCAAAACACACACAGCAGAAGCAGTGGATTATGTGCATGGAGCAGCAGATGGAGCATCCTGACCATGCTGAGCATCCTGCACTACACGCTAAGGATTAATGAGCAGCCAGACCTCATCACACAAATCAACCTGCGGTGGCATGCGGCAGAGCAGGAGCAGCGGAGCGTGGCTGATGTGCATGCAGCATCAGCTAGAGCAGAAGAGGCAGGAGCCATGCTGGCTCAATGTGGCAAAACACGCACAGCAGAAGCAGTGGATTTTGTGCATGGAGCATCAGGTGGAGCATCCTGACCGTGCCGAGAATCCTGATGCTTCCACTGATGCTGCGGGTGAGAGGGTACGTGCAACACCGCAGCGCTGTTGTCTGAAAGAGCACCAACCCATTAGCGGTTTGCAGGGGTGAGGAGCAGCAAAGCCTTCGGGGAGGCAGGAACAGAACTTGTCCCTACCAAAGGCTCCTTCCTCTCTGCTGCTGCAGCAGCTGTGAGGGGAATCAGGACTGGGAGCCCAAACCTGAGGCTCAGCAGCTTGCTCCCCAGGGAAAGGATCTGCTTGGTCCTTGTTTGCTCTTTGCTTTTCTTCCTCATCAGGGGCAGTTGTAATGAGACCATTACTAGAGAAGCCTCCGTAACTCTTCTGATAAACGGCCACCTGATTTCGCATCAGGCTGGGCTGTCGCAAGTCTCTGGGTGCAACGCTGCTATGTAATTGTCCAGCAGAGCTTGGAGTGGCAGGAGTGTGCGTGCTGCACGCACAGGTGGGAAAGTGTGACCCACAGCTCCTGCCCACAGGCTCCTCCATGCTGCTGCTGTGGGTGCCATGGAGGGAGACAGGAAGCCGACTGCAAGGCCCAGTCGGGTGTGGAGCTCCCTGTGCAGTCCAGGGATGCCCTTGTGCCACCCCAGCTGCTTTTTCTGGGGAGGCTTTCGGGCCCTGGGAGCTCTGTCCTGCCACGGGGGGATGGTATTTCCCCACTATAGGGGCCGGAGAGCTACGCGTTGGCCGTGGCCGTCCGGGTGGGGTGTTGCCATGGGGCTGTGGCGCCTATGACAACACAGAGGGGTGCCGTAAGGTGCCAGCCGCAGCGGCACTGCCCCTGCAGTGTAGCTCGGGAGAGGGGTGAGTGGGGTGGGCAGCCGTGCCTCCAAGAGGGCTCCTGGATGCGCAGGACTTAAGGATCATTTTGGAAGACACAGATAAGGTAGCTAGGAGTTGTTTCCTGCATAAGAGAATTAGGCTCTTCAGTAGAAGTATACCTGAGTGAGGCTCGGCGTCTCAGAGGAGGGTGGAGACGGCGGGGACCTTCTTGGCATTAAAGAAGGCACTTAAACACAAATATGGCATCTATCCAGGTTCTCCACCACTGTGAAGATTTAGATGCAGTCCCCTTGAACTTCCCAGTTCCATTTTCCAGAGAAATAGACTAAAGAAAAAAGCATTACTGCAGCTGACACACAAGTGCATTAACCTCAACCATGAACAACTTCCCAAAGATGCATCTGATCTGTAAGTCACAGATAAACCAAGAGCCCATTTTATGATCACTATATACAGACTACCTACAACCTCAGCTGTCTGATTTCCAGAAAAAAAAAAAATAATCACAGCAGTGTAATAGCTTATACTTAACAAAAGGTTAGCCCTGAATCAATGTTCTCCATAATTTTCAATTTTACTGCAACTATTTCAGATTTCCAAGTGCTAGAATATTTATACTCAATCAGATTTTAGTATTCCAATTTTAGAGCGGTAGTTGCAGAGTACACATATACAAAGCTGAAACAATCAGATTCAAGTAGTAGATCCTAGTAGGAGATCCTCCCAGAAAAGATTTGTTGCATGAGGAAAAAGGTTTTCCGTTTGTGGTCCAGGGTGCTAGGTATTTTGAGTTAGCTGAGCTAGTGGAGACCAGACCTACCTCATACACATTAGACACCTGCTCACAAGACATAGTTCCTATTCCATTTATTTAGCACAGAATACAGAAACTGATCATGCAGCTTCCTGCAAATGCAACACCAAGCAACCACAAACAGGGAAAAGATGGCTTAAGAGTTTGGAAAGAAGTATTTACCTTTGTAACAATGTAAAAGAAAGAAAAAAAATGAAGACTGAACTTGGTGAAGGTTGTGAGAGGTGAGGGACCCTGGATGTAACTGCAGATGGAACAAACTGCAGAAAAATAAGGAGCACCTATAAAGGGTAAGAGCCAAGATGTGACAGGAATAGATTGAAAGATAGGAAAACATTTGTTTGATAATTTAAATTTCTGAATTTAACAAAAGCAAGCCATCCTAAACCACATGGAAATAAAAAGGCACATCTTGTAAGAATACCTCTTGTATTCAAGTAACGAGGGAAAGCAGATTTCACTACCTTCGATGCACGTGATTGGATGTACGTGGGAAGGTTCAGTCAGCAAAGGCTCTGTCACTTCACTAAGCACTTAAAACTAGCAAGATACACCCACAGCAAACATTAGTTTATACATAAATGCTGTCAGATCAAATTCAAGGATACTGGGTAAGGCATCAGATGACCACATCAGTGCGATGCCATACAGTATATAAAACCCAACACCAGAAAGCCTGAACTTTTCACTGACAACAGAAAATTGTTTTCTCTACACCTTCACATCATATTCTCTTGAGTTTTGTATTCTGCATCGTTTTAATGCATTCCAGATCCGCAAAGAAACTGATCCCCAGCTTTTCTCCTGCTGCTTCCTGTCCATTTGTTTATACCTAGTTTTCTTCATAGGGTCAAAGCCAGACATAAAAAACCCCAAAATTATCTGAAAGAGGAAGCCACTTTGCAGACCCCAGGATAACAGCAGAACTGCTCTTGCCACTGTCTGCCTAGCACTTCTTCTTGTGTAAGATAAGCACAAAAGTGCCCTTGTAGAACAGATAGATGTTATTTTCCTGAAAGCACTAAGGTTACTACCAAAGTCCAATCTTCATGGAAGAGAAAAAATTCAGTACACACTCCTGACTACCAGGCTGGCAGCCTCAAACTTGGAATCCCAAGCAATAAAAATGTCATATGAGTGTTGCATGCAGAGCTATTTAAAAGGAAAGAATAATCCCACACCACCAATGAATACAGGTGTAGTACTTCTTATAGCTCCACAGAGACTATATGTTCAGCTACACTGTCACAATGGCAGGAAAAGAAAAAAAGCTTCCTGTAACAACTCCATGATCTCCCTACTGTATTATTCCAAACTGAGTAACAAGATCATCAGAAGTAATTTCCTCAGACCTAATCCATGTTGCAATTAAAGTCCGCAACTCCATCTCATTCAAGCAGGAATCCCCCAGTTGCCAAGCACTTAGCTGTAAATTCAGTGCCTACTGATCCCAGCTCTAGTTTCACAGATTTTGTTCCCCAGCTCTTTCAATGCTCCCCTTCCCCCCTAACTTTCCAGTTTGCAACAATTTGCAAATTATGTCCCTATTAACTGGAAGATACTCCTCAAGAGGTTGTGCCAGTATGGCTTGTTATTAGCCAAGACAGTAAGTTTACTTACAAGTAAAACATGTCCTGTCTGCAGTGGAACTCCGTGTATCTTCTTCTTGAATATGGATTAAACAGAATATCCCTGACCAGTTGGAACTGAATAAGCAGCTACACGCAAAGTCACTGTTTCTCACCTGCAGCAGTAACCTCTAATTAAAATCAAGTGACTTCTGGAATGGTTCCCAGACAATTTGATCAACAACGCATCAGCAACATTTGCCCTGAAACCAGAGTCACAAACTTCGGGCTCAGCTACCAAAGCTGTATCCCCACAGTTGCAGAAGTAATTCCAAAGAACACATGCATGTCTACTCTTGGTTATCAGTAGTCTTGCAAAGAAAAGACAACACTCGCAGTCAAAGTCAATGTCTCTTTATTAACTTGTTCATACATTTGACTGATTTACATTGACTGTAGATACCACATTCTTTCTCTAGACTTCACAAACTTACCTTCAGTTTATGCAGTGTACTCCTTGCAGCCACCTTTCTAACACACCTGAACAGCAGAAGCACCACCACTAAATACGCCCATGATCGGATCAAATAGTACTGTGCCAACATCAGCCACATAACAGAACACAGCACAGCCACGAAACTATCAATAACGTTATTAGAATTGCTTCAGACTTTGCAAAAGCCCAAAGACAGGAGCAGTGGAAGATCCCTAAAAGCAGCATAAAAAAAGCTAGTCATCCTAGCTGCATTTGTACAGAAGCAATCAAGGCTAATCTTAGGCACAGCAACCTACATTCCAGCACTTCTTTGTAATAAGGACAGACGGGCTGCAGAATCTCTCATTTAATTTTTTAAAAATTCATTTAACTTTTAAAATAAAGTTCATTTCTGTTAATTCTAAAGTGAGATTAAGATCTAGACTAAAATTAGCATTTGCTGTCTCTGCTTGATAACCAGGAATACTATTGCTCGTGAAAGGTATCAAATGCAGAGTATCAGACAGATCTACCCCACCCTAAGTAAAAATTAGAAAGTTCTAATCAGTTACTCTTATAACTCAGGTGTGGAATTTAGCCCCATCTTCTTCTGTCACAACAGCTCAAGAGTGTTCTTCCCCTGTAAAAACAAGTTTGAAGCAGTTTAATCTTCCTACTGAAAACACATACAACACAGCAAACATCACTGAACCGTATGATGTGCTCCTAGGAGTTCTAAACTGCTCTGAAACAAAACTTTTAGTATCTTCATGACATCTCCCTCTGCTCCTGCCTCTGCAGATTCATACTCACTTCATTAAATCAGAAATGTGTTTATTGAAAGACACTTCTGATGCACAGAAACAGACTCTACAACTCAAGGAGAGCTGTAAAATGTGTATTACGGCGCTGGGCGCAAGGGGGATTGCTTCTCTTAACTTGCACCACAGGGCTAGTAAGAACCGGTTCTTTCTTGAGTGGTCTTCCAGACAATGTATTTCCTGTTTTCACATACTGGCTGTTCCTATTATCTTGCAACACACTGTTCCCTATCTTGGATCTAAGTTAACCCCATGCTGCTTGGATGCTGGCCTTTTCTTATATCACTTCCCTGGCACAGTCTTCCCCAAGAAATCTGTGGAATCCAATACGTCTAGTTTTGCAGGCAAGAGCACAGCGACATGCCATACTTTTTTATCATAAACCCCTCTTCCCAGCATATCTAATGCATCTCTACTGCGGCCCAATCCTTCCTAGTCACACTACCATATACACTTGGTTATAATTTTTCTGCCAATAAAATATACACACCAAATGAAGCAACAAAACACCAAATCCTGATTTCAACAGGCACATCTCAGCAGTTCAGTCCCTAAAGTAAACTATAAAATCAGTATTATTCCTGCCCAAAACCTCACTTTTAAGAGCGTATTATGTAACACGTACCCAGTCACACAGCTTTTTTAGGAAGGATCTTCAATGGCAACAAATGCATCTCCATGCTTCAGTTTCTGCCCCCCTGAGAAAGGAAGAGGAAAAAAAAGAAAAAAAAAAAGTTTGAAAACTGTGCTCTACTTATTGCGGGAGGGATGGGGGAAACAAACACACAAAAACACTCCAACCCAAAACTCCACCAAAAATCAACAAATCCACAAAAAACCGCTCCAAAACACTACAGGGCCAATGCCACGGCGCCACACACATCGGCCGATTCGGGCTGTCCCTTGCTACAGTCAACGACTAAAACCCATAAGCGGGTAGAAGTTTTGCCAATTAGTAAGGAACTGCTCTTCCATGCCTAGGAAGGGAGACAGCCACGGGCGGCAGCCCCCATGGAGTCATGGATCACCCCTACCCACCCCGACACGTGCCGGCCGCCATTTCCCCTTCTCTCCTCGCGGCCCTCCCCCCGCCCCCGCCGCCGGTTAACGTGCGCCTTCGCCGCGGCGCCCACCTGCTGCTCACTCCTCTGCCGCGGTAGCTCGGTTCGGGCCTAACCCCGCCGGCAGAAAGGAGCGCTCCGCGGCTGCGATACTGCCTGGGCACCGAGCTCCGACGCCTCCCCCACCCTCCTCGCCGCCACGCCACGTCCCGTCCCGTCCCACAGGCGGTCGCCCCGCGCGCCCACCAAGACCTCACCCAGCGGCTCAAAAGCCACGCGCAGCAAAGCCGCCTCCACGCGCACCGCAGGAACTGAGACGTAGCAGTGCGCAAGCGCCTTCCACGGGAAAAACGCGGCTCGGCGCCGTGCGGCGGCCGGAATGTAGGCCCCGCCCAAGCGGAAGCTGAACGCTGTGATAGGCTGAGGTGCGGTGAGGGGTATGGGCGGGGGCGGTTGTCAGAAGGGTTAAAGCCTTGCGCATAGCATTCAGGCCCTTCCGGATGTTGCCGAAATCACAACCACAGGAGGAAGCGCAGTGAAAGATTCACTGAAAGCAGGCTGCCGTTACTCCCCGAACCAAAGTGGCTGTCTTCGGCTGGTGTGGGTCTTGATGCTGCTTTCCATAGAATCGCAGCCTGGTTTGGGTTGGAAGGGACCTTGAAGCTCATCCAGTTCCAGCCTCCTGCCATGGGCAGGGACACCTTCCACTAGACCAGGTTGCTCCAAAGCCCTGTCCAACCTGGCTATATGTATATGCACATGTATGCTTGGTCAAGTCGGAAGATGGGCCTTAAATGCTAACACACTACTATTTGTTATTTAATAACCGTGGACTAAGAAGGAAGAAGAGGTGGTGTCATGAAAGATGTGCTAGAAAAATGAAGCCATCCCTTTAGTAAATACAGGTAATTTTCCAGTCCATATAAGCAAGTGTATCTTGTTAATGCCAGCCAAATTCCTACACCCACATTTTTAATTACAGCAAAATAGAAAAAATAGAGTAAAAAATAAATAGACTATTTCAGTTGGAAGGGACCTACACTGATCTATTGTAGGTCCAACTGCCTGACCATTTCAAGGCTGACCAAAGGTGAAGCAGGTTGTTATCGGCATTGCCCAAACACCTCTTAAGCAGTGACAGGCTTGGAGTATCCACCACCTCTCTAGGAAACCTATTCCAGTGTTTGACCACCCTCTCGCTAAAGAAATGCTTCCTCACATCAAGCCTAAACCTCCCCCAGTTACCATACTTAATTACACCACAGTGTCATAACTCAAGTATTGGTACAGTAACCCTCACTGCAGGGAAGGATGGTTTTTAAAGCTGGGTACAGGCCACAAAAACTGCTCTTTGGCACAGCCAGTGCCTCAAAGGTGAGTTCATATTCCATGCATGGGCATGCTGGAAGAATGGGCAGGCAATTTTGACTTCTGCAGGCCACGTGCCAGTGAACTGACCCAGCCAGGGGACTGAAAATTTGGCTCAATCAGCTACAGCAGGATGACTTGTTACTTGAATAGTTAGGAAGTTTTTGAAGAAGAGGCTGGAAGTGAGGACTACTGTACTCCTGGAAGCTGCCTTTGGGCTTATATTTTGGTATCACATTTCTTATCTTTTTATCCCCATGGGAAAGACAGGAAACTATTTAAGGCCTATCTGTCATGTTAAAGGTTTTTAATCATTTTCAGGCGATGATGATGATGTAATACTGCTGCCTCAAATACATGATTTTCAGCAGTGTTGCAGAATAATAAAACTGCAGCTAGGATTGTACAAAAGTGGAGACAAATTACAGCCCTAACACACCCTACAGTCCTACCTGTGCCATCAGCTGTTCTGACCTTGCACCATTTGTGTTCAGGAATTTTATTTCCACTGTCACAGGCATAAAAGAGCTGGCTCCTGCCTTCAGCTCGTAATGTTTTCCTTCCAGACAGAGTTCTATAGCTAAAACACATATACTGTGTATTATAAAAGTTATGCAAAAGATATTTTTCTGGTTTTTTTAATATTTGTTTGGGTTTTATGTGTTTGTACATAAGCCTTACTTCCCATCTGAATTTCTCAAGAGAAGATCAGAACAGAAAAAGGGAAGTGAAGAATGAAAATACTGTGTTAAAAAAAAAAAAGAAAGAAATAACCTGAGAGAAAACAGAGTCATGAAGACTCACGGTCACTATATGCTTTTCAAATCTATCACCTTGATGCGTCTAAATTCCCCCTCTACTCAGACTTCCCTAACTCTGGGTTCAGCTGTTAATTGCTTCCCCATTCCTGTGACTTATCCTTTGATGCTGACAGTTGTGCTTTCTTCATCCATCTGTGGTCCACAGAGGCAAAATAAATGTCTTTTGCCTTTGAGCACTAAGACTTTTGGGATTGGAAGAACTGAAAAAAAAAAAAAGTAAATGAAAGCAGATAAACTTGAGACAGAGGTCAGGCAGGTGTTACTTGTAGCAAAGATCTTTTCCCTTTGCTTAATGCTTTTCTGTTACGACTTTGCCATTCCAGTTTTGTGATTCTTAGAGATTACAGAAATGGGTATTATAAAAGCAGCTTCTAATTTACAGGTTGCATTACTTCTCTGTGATGGACTATTGTCTTAACATAGGTTTCCTACTTTTTGTACCTCGATGAAGATACTAAGCAGCTTTTGCCCAGATAGGTAATACAGTTTCCTGTACTGTTCCAAATTTGTTGATAACAGTGAATTTTCCTTTGCACATTGATACCATTTTAGAGGTTTCTCTGAAGAAAGGTTTTATCATTTCTGTGTAGGCTAATCATTGGCACAACTACTGAATCCTCACAGCAAATGATATGAATAAAGTCTGCTTGTTATATTAAAATCAGCAAGCTCTGGAAATGTTTCTATAGCACATTAGCAACTTCTGGCACAAGAAAAAAAGTGAGCAGGAAAACAAGCAGTAAAACAAGCAGCTGCATAAAGCAGTAACATTCACTTACAGAGACAGTAAGTGCTTTTTTTGATTTCTGAAAACATTTCATGCTGCTCCCATGCTCTTGGATTGTTGTAGCTCAGTGTCCAGCTGCAATAGCTGCTAAGTAACCTGGAAAAGGACAGCTTTTATGAATGGAAAAATCACTTCCACACAGCACTACATTTTCTTATCAGAGTTTATTGTCGCACTTCAGATACCATGCCACTATCAGAATAATAGCTATTTTTATTAAAAAAAAACTTTGAGAAAAATGTTTCCAGCAATTTTCATTCAATGTGAATGACAAGAGTATTACCTCTATAACACTGAAATACCTACTTAATTTCTTCCTGAGGAAGTTTCATATTTTTAAGCAATGAAAAAGGATATTCTGTACAAGTAAGTCTGCAAAACATTGCGACTAAATCTGCAGGAGTAGAACTGGGAAAATATCAACAGCATTTTCAGCAATGTTTGCTTAAATAATTCAGTTATTTCATATCAGGCCCTTTTACACCTCCTGTAATGGTCACTTTCTGTTCATAGTCACACATTAACTTTTAATGGCACAGATTCTGCAGAAAGCAAATTTCAGAATCATATTTATGAAAATGAAGCTGAAGCTCACATAATCAAGCAATTGTGCAGTTATCTACCAGGACAGCAGAAACCATGGCTGTTTTATCAACCACACAGTACAACATATTTGACTTTGACTAGCAAATATTAATTCATTGTAATGAATCAGTTTTTTTTTTTAAGAGCGTTAATATTGATAGTCTATTTCTGGAAATCAAACACCTATTGTAAGTAAGCTGTGAATAGAATTAGTTATACTTTGGCAGGTAATTCATGTTGTATGACTTGCTTACTCAGCTGTATTCATGTGCATCCTACGATTTGGGCAATAACACATGTAGCTGTTGTCTGCATGCTTTCCTCAGACTCTTCATTCTTCACCAAGTTGACTGCACATTAAAAGTAGTGTTTTTTAAAGTCTACTGTTAAATGTAAGAACATATTTAAATAGAATAGTTCTTGAGAAAAAAAAAGTTGCTTCATACCATCTTTCTATTAACAAGTAATAAGCGAGCATCAGAAATTTGGAACTGTAAAAAGCACCAGCAGTTGCCTTTATTTCTCCATTGCTTTTGTATCAGAGATTAGCCCTCCCAGCATACAAGAAGCTAATCCCACAGCACCTTTTCTAAAGATGCTAGTGCTTAACAGGTGCATCACAACAGAAAGATTATGCCCTTTCAGATGCAGTTCGAGGTCAAGCTACTTTGTTCAAAATATCCAGTCAGGTAAAGTTACCACAGGAATCCGCCAAAGATTTCCCTAGGAACTGATTCATTTTGTTTCCAGTTCCCTCCTTTAGGACAGGCACTGGTATGATACAAGAGCTCCAATCTGCTGTTCCTCATCAGGACTTGAGAGTCACTCCTTCCTGGAGAATGAGCTTTGTGGTTAGCTGCCAAACCAAACCCAATCCACCCAAGGCCAAGGCCAAGGCCAAGGCCAAGGCCATGCATCTGGGGGCTTATCTCTGCAGTGCTACATGTGACTCCAGTTGGGCTGTTTTAGCAGGTAGCAGCCTTCCAGTATCTTTAGGGGGCATATAGGGATGCTGGGGATGGACTCTTCATTAGGGACTGTAGTGGTAGGACAAGGGGTAATGTGTTAAAACTTAAACAGGGGAAGTTTAGATTGGATATAAGGAGGAAATTCTTTCCTGTTAGGGTAGTGAGGCACTGGAATAGGTTGTCCAGGGAGGTTGTGAATGCTTCATCCCTGGCGGTGTTCAAGCCTAGGTTGGACGAGGCCTTGGGTAATATGGTTTAGAGTGGGGTGTCCCTGCCCACGGCAGGGGGGTTGGAACTTGATGATCTTAAGATCCTTTCCAACCCTAACTATTCTATGATTCTATGATTGCAGTGGGCTCCTTGCTGTACCTCAGTGAGTACTCACACAGTATTTCACAGATTTGAGACATGTCACTGTGTCTGTTGTAAAATTTCTGGAGGGAGAATGCAACTGATGTGCATGTCCCTATCACAACTCTGTGCCTGACTACCTACTCATTCTCATTTTGTGGGTGCCTTGGCTTCCCAGAGAAATAAGGCAGAAAGGAGTTCTTAAAAAATGAACTATCAATGTGCAGCCCTTTCCTTCTGTGGATTTTTCAAAAAATGTTTGAGTGAAGTTACATCAGGTTATATTAAGGGTAAAACAAATCATACCAGGATGAAAACCCCAGGTATTTTCTCCAGTTATTCAATTTCATTGTAGCAAATCCATATAGAAGCTTGCAGGAGGCATGAGCTGTCCATAGCAGGCAGAGTACTTGCTTTTACAGATCTTCAGAATCCAGAGTGTTTTTTTTATCAAATAAGAAGTACTTCACAACAAGTCAGCCTCTGGGACAAATCCATATGACAGTAACTATTTAAAATGAAATAAAAGCTCTTACCCTAATAAATAATAAATATGTTAATCTTAAAAATGTTTACTCTAGAAGGTCCTCATCATTACTCATGCATTTTCCCTTAGCAAAAATTTGTTGTGTAAAGAATATTGTTAAATACAACAAATTTGTCTAGACTTTTTTCTTTACTGACCTATCAAAACCACATATTACATAAACAAAATCAATAAATAATAAAGATTACCAGTTAGAGGTACAGTAAGGATCTCAACATCTCTTTACTGTTTAGGGAATAACAGACTGGTTTCCGTTCTATTACCTTGAAAGTTAAATTATATGATTACATAAATGTTGGAAAGCAGCACTGAGACACATGAAGTTTTCCCATCATTTGATGTGTATTTTTAACTATTCACCCTAAACCAAATCATAATGTTATAGAGCTACTGTAAAAAGCATTGCATTTAGTACTGCAGTTCTGTTTCATTTTCACTACCTCTTCATGCCTCTAAGAAACAGAGTCAAAATTTAGTGGAGAAGCAGCAAGGCTGTCCTCAGCTGAAGTTTTCTTTCATCCTCTTTCCCAATTTTTTCTTACTATTAATTAGACTTTATCTCACATCTCAACTGATACACTATGAGATGTATCATTGAAATGTATCACATAAACATAAGGCTGGATATTTGTGTCTCCCATGATTACAGTGTAATTTTCTACCATGACTACATACTGTGTTTTTTTTCCCCTACAGATTATTCCTAATGTTTAATACAACACATGTTGAAAACATCTGGAACCGGAACCAGTATTTTCATCTGGAAATGTGACAGATTTTTGCAGCTGACATAAACTGAAGGTTACTGAAAGGTGCTATGATTTTGATTAGGTTGAGGGATCTTAGAATGTACAAACCATAGAGACTGAAGGCAAATAAATTAAGGAAAAAATAGCAGTGCAAATTAAGACAATCTAAGTATGGATGTGTTTCTGCTTTTTATGAGTTTTTCATTAATTTCAGCAGAGTTGCTCCTGATTCACACCAAAGTAAGCCCAGAGGGCAGTGTCTGGCTGGTTGTGGAAGCCAGGAGTAAAAGCCTGTTCATTGCACTGCTTCAGTTTCGTTCACAATTGTGTAAGTATAATACTGCTCATAAGAATTATACTGCAGCTTTTGTACTTCACATGTCCAATTCAATTTCTGCTCAGATAATGACAATATTCTGTATTTTGCCATTTCAGTCAGTCCAAAATCATACATAGTAATTGTGGTCAAAGGCCCTTACCATATTGTAAGGGTATGTTGTTTGTTACAGGCTATAATCATAGGTAATGTTTTCTTGGGGGTTGGGGGTGTGGGAGTGGGGGATGTTTCTACATTGCATTTGCCTGTGGCTTCCATATTTTGCTCTGTGTATTTTGCTGCTGTGCACAGCTAAATCACATATAATAACTGTACTTCTAACCCTGAAGTACACTTGGCATTTTTTGTGCTACATTAAGTTTTCTTAGTTTGTGCAAGACAAGAATCAAATAGTAAGAAAAACTGTCAGTGGTCTAACAATGGGCTATAAAACCTACACGAGACACAATACTTTTAAACTGATATATAAAATGTGTGTCTGTATATGTATGTATTTACCATGAAATTGGACAGGTCACGTATCTCAAACTTATACCAGTTGCAAATAACTTCTACATATGTGCACAGGGGTCCACAGGTCCACAGGCCCAGAAATGTTTGTGAGAAAGATCTGGCCCACCGGAGCTCTAAAGAAACACATGTATTTTCACAATCCACATGCCAGCACATGGAAATAATTTCTATCTTTTACTCTTTTTTGAAGAAGTATATTTTACAAGACCTTCTAGTAGCTCCTGGAGACTTCAGATACGATGACTGAAGTATGGAAGAAAGATTTCAAAAAGCTGTGTTTCAATGCTATCTTACTTTCTGTAGCTCCTGTCTCAGCCATGATGGCAGGGGTTGTCCCAATTTGTGTAGGAGTTTTGACAGTTCCACATTGTGATCTCTGTAGTAGCTTGACAGAAAAGCCCTGCACTGATGGGATACAAAAATAAATACTTTTATTTAAGAAAATGCCTACTGCAGTTACTGTTAATTCTAGGTTTCATTCTAGAAGTTTATTTTACCCATGTCAAAACTTTACTTTCTTTAAAGCAATTTATATTCCTTTACGCTATCTACTGCATGCAAGTTTAAGCTTTTCAGTTAGGAGTTGTACTATAGAAGGTAATTTCAAGAGAAACAAAGGTTGTCAAAAATGAACACTGAAGTCAAAGCAAAGGATCTGATTCTACTCTCAGACAGTCATGTACATTAAGATTCACACTCTGATGCAGTCACTTTGAATTTACTTAAGTAATGACTGAAACCAAAGCTTCATATGTAGGCATGTATCAATTAATAACCCATTGTTCAGAAGTATTTAGAGTTGAAAAGTACAACCATAAACAAATATAGTTTTGTCTCATCTCACCCAGTGATTTCATATCAGTATCATTCTAATGATGTAAAGTTACTTTTAAGTTCTATGAAAAAGAAGTCCTGGCTTACTTGCTGCATTAATACTTACTGCTGTTCAAACTGTAAGTTTATATATGCATTTTAGTCAGGCTAAATGAAATGGGAATACGGGACAGAATAAACATAAAAGATACAGCTAGAATAGGAGACTAAACTGCCCTTGGGTAAAGGCTGTAGCGTTTGATCTGATGGAAATGTCTTCATTTGAGCATTTGTCTGGGGGAGCCATTTATAAAACTCGTAAACAGAAACAATCTTGAAACTGGATTATGTGAGAGTCTGTGTTACTTGTCGTGGTCTAACTACTCTCAAAGACAAGGGACCAGACAGAAATACATGTATCTGATCATGACTGAGAAAAAACCAAGCATTGTGGAGTCTCTGCTACTTAAGTCACTTAGGTAAAAGCAAGAGGTTTCCAAGTGAATTTCAGGGGTTTCAAGTTTATTTTACTAAGAGGTACCAAATTTTAAGAGCTGGGTTGTTTTTTTTTTTTATAAATTATTTATATTCTTCACATTTAAAATCAAGAATTGAAAAAGTCTATGCACTCCACTAAGCTAGTCAAATAAATAATGTCTACTTAATTTTGTCTTCTCTCCCTTCTTTTGTCTGTTGATTTTGTCTGTGTGGTGTCCCACATGTGGCAACTGAATCCCTTTATAATGCCAGTGAGCATAATGGTTTACCTCAGAATCCATAGGAGGGTATTTTCTACCTTTGCTCTTTCCAAGACACTTTGTTTTTCCTTCTTCCAGGAGCTGACACCAGAAACCTTTATGTGAATCGAACCTGAAACAAGTATTTTGGAGCATGTGAAGGTTGTGAGATACTGCAAGGAGGATGCATCTCCCAAGTTCAGACTGAAGAATCAAAAGAGTAAACCTAAGGTTATCAGTTTTATTTTAAGGGCAACCAAATATAAATGTCAGAATCCAGGATTTGTGTATTTACACATCCAAAAGATGGGTATTTAGGATGTGGATGTTACATTTCTGACTGATCCTGCTGAATCTGTCTTGCAGCTAATGTCAAAAATAAACATATTTTTTCTATTTATGCAAGTCAGCCTTCCATGTTCCACTTCTGGAAATAAAATTCCTTTTGATTCATCCAAAATTCATATGCAATTCCCTCAAAACAGTACTTTGTCCATTTGTTAGAGGTCTACTTCTGTAACAGTCAAGTTCCATATACAGCAGCTCAGTAGATGAGTCACAGAAAATCTAACCCTGAACTGTTTTTTTGCAGATGCTGAAGAATAAATCCTACTGCCAGCTCAAAGGAGAAGTATGAGACCCTTTGTTTTGCAGTGAGCTTACTTATAACTTACTAACTGGTATTTTAGGATTGTTGAAATATGCGAAAATGATGATTAAATTAACTCACATTAGGGCTTCAGAGTAATTATAATGAGGAGAGACTCCCAGAAACTTCTGTACTTCATCCATTACAGTAGATGGGTCAGTTCGCAGCTGCTGTCCATCAATAATTAGCAACTACAAGAAAGAAAATATATGTCCATTTAAAAGCCATTATTTCAAGATTTAAACTGAAATATCAACCTCTGTCAACTCATTCATTCTATGGAGAGTACTGCCCTAGAGAATGATAATTGGTCCAGTTTTAATTGTCACCATCATTAATGACTTGGGAGCAGGGTAAATGGCACATTAATTAAATCTGAAATCAAACTGGAAGCTGTCATGATTTAAGCCCAGCTGGTAACTCAGGACCATGCAGCCCTCTTCTCACATCCCTCTTCTTCTCCCCTCTCCTCCCAGAGGGATGAGGACGAGAATTGGAAGAATGTAACTCCCATGGGTTGAGATAAGAACAGTCCAATAACTAAGGTATAACACAAACCACTGCTGCTACCACCAATAATAATAATGATAAGGGAAATAACAAGGGAAGAGAATACAACTGCTCAGCACCCACCGACTGATACCCAGCCTGACCCAAGAAGTGATCTAGCCCTTTTGGGTAACTGCCCCCAGTTTATATACTGGGCATGACGTGCTGTGGTATGAAATATCCCTTTGTCTGGTTTGGGTCAGGTGTCCTGTCTCTGCTTCCTCCTGGCTTCCCCTCTTTCCTGGCAGAGCATGAGACTGAGAAAGTCCTTGGTCAGAGTAAACATTACTTAGCAACAACTAAAAACATCGGTGTTATCAGCGCTGTTCCCAGGCTGAAAGTCAAAAACACAGCACTGCACCAGCTACTAAGAAAGAGAAAAATGACTGCTACTGCTGAACCCAGGACAGAAGTGGTTGTGACAACAGAGAAATAGCAGTAAAGGACCTAGAAAGATAAGAAATATTGGCAGCAAATTGAGTGAGAGTTGACTAGACAAGAAAAAAAAAGTAATGTTTAGAGATCTAACCTCTAATTCTCACAGACACAATCATGGAGACCTTATTGGGACCTTTTAGTACATAAGAAAGATGGCAAGAGATTTTTTATCAGGGGCTGTTGCAACAGGACGAGGGGGTGATGGTTTTTTGAACTAAAAAAGGGAGGATTCAGGCTGGATGTGAGGAAAAGAATTCTTTCCACTGAGGGTGGTAAAATACTGGCCCAGGTTATCCAGAGAGATGGTGGATGCACCATCCCTGGAGACACTGAAGGCCAAGCTGGATGTGTTTCTGGGCAACCTGATCTAGTTGAAGATGTCCCTGCTCATTGCAGAGGAGTTGGACTAAATAACCTCTAAGGTTCCTTCCAATTCAAACTATTCCATGATTCTGTATATTACAGTAATGGTGAAAAGCTTGTCCCTGGAAATGACCAGAAAAACAGAAAACAGTAGGTAGGATGATGTTAGGTGAAATCCACACAACCATGCATATTTGTTGAAATATGTTGAATATACTCAACATAACATGTTGAAAAAAACTCCCTCCTTCGAAAATATTAAAGGCAGGTATTATGATGACCTCAAGGCAGGGATGTAGATAGATAGAAGATGTGCAACACATCTCTTAAGAAAGGCAGGTACTGGTAGCTCATTTTTTTCTCTTCAAGTGCTTGACCATACATATCCTCACAGAAGGCTACTTCAGACACATACATGCTTTTACCTGAAAGTGAATCTTCAGGGAAACAGTCACTACCTGAGAATTTTCTCAGGTGTGGCATCATGGGCAAATGCCACACTGATGGTGCTGCAAGTTTGGGTCTCTGTGACTCTTGGAAGACAAGCAAAGTCCCAAATGGGTTAGTCAAGCCTTCATTTCCTGTCATGGAAACACCTCTATTTTTTCTGTTACGATGATGAAAACAAAAGGGGAAATAGGTTCGTAAGGGGGTTCAACACTCCCCTTTTGCAAGCAATATGAAGCTTGTTTTCAAATTTCCATGCAAGCAGAAAGGCTAAAATCATATAAATTTCTTCCATGACTGAATGAAACTTAAACTTTGCTAGATTATGAGGTTTCAGAGCATAATCAAAAGGGAAAAAACATCTTTTCTTTTAGAAGACTGGTCTTCGGAATTACCCAGATAGATGTGGTCTAGTGGAAGTGTCAGGCTATTCAGAAAACAGTAGCCCATTCCAGAAGTCTTTGCAGCCAGTTGCATGAAAGAACTCATTGTTTTCCTGAGACATAAGCTTTGAAAACAAGGCTTTAAGTGCTTCAAAAGAACAGAGGTCAAAAAACCATCTCAAATGGGTGATATTTCCATCTGAAAGAAAAGGAGTGAGGGTTTTTTTCTTCACTCTTTAAAATCACATACAGGTAAATATCTGGGCCCTTCGTACTTCTGCTGCCCTAAAACAGACATGTAAGAAGAAGTTTTACCAATGGAAATTCATTCCAATTCCTGGCATTCCCAATAAGCAGGTAACAAAAATGCTCCCTCTCAACCACCAGAGAGGCTGTAAGGAACTGAAGCAAAATTTTTCATTACTTGTACTGATTCGTTCATATCCTGATCTCAGGAAGATGTTAACTTCATTAAATTCCTCAAAATCTAAGCATTTCATGTATTAGAAAGGTAGAAAACTTAATGTAGTTCTGACAAAGTGGATAGCTTCATATATAATGAAAATACTACAGACGAAGTATTTTGAGTCACTTTACATCATATTGATCATTTTACTGTAAAATTGCTGGCAGCTGAAGAATCATAGACACAGAATAGTTCGGGTTGGAAAGGAACTTAAGATCATACAGTTCCACCACCCTTGTCACGAGCAGGGACACCACACTCTAGACCATGTCACCCAAGACTCTGTCCAGCCTGGCCTTGAGCACTGCCAGGGATGGAGCATTTACCACTTTTTTGGGCAACCTGTTCCAGTGCACCATCATCCCCACAGAGATAGTTTAAGTCCCTGCTCTCCCACTATAGATGAGTTATCTGGTGTTTGAAAGTCACCATGGCGGTAGAGGAGCAAGAGAGACATTTTGGAGAATAGACTAGCTCAGACACAGCCTAAATCTGTCAGCTTTAGACTGGCCATTATGTGATGGCTGTTGCAAAAATCAGCTTTGTTTCCTGTAAGGCTGGCACATGAGCAAATCTTTTGGATCATGAGGGAGTTAGTCATACCAGGTCCTCTTTTCTTCTGTATGACCATATTGAAGCAATGAGTTGCAGGTGGGAAATGAACTTGAGGCATTAGCTTCTTGAGCTTCTAGAGATCTGCTAGGTGGCCAGAGAAAAGAGGATTTTTGTATTACAAGATAATAAATTAAGTCAATCAGCCTTCTAACCATCTGAACCTGAAATTTGCAAAATCCTCTGAGATTTGCAGTTTCTTACCATGCAAGACAAGTGTGCTATTACCACTTTTCTAATGCAAAGGGGACCCTTACCAATTTCCGTTGCTACTTGAACACTTACTTCATACCTACCAACTTCACAAGGGACGTTAAGACTTCAATTCAGTCATGTGTAGAGACTTCCCAGATTTATACAGCATTAAAAATTATAGACAGTCTTAGATGGTCTGGGTGAGAGCTCTCTTGCTGAAGAAAGGCTCTCATAGTTTTGGATAAGGCTTTTATGATGAGCTGATTTCAGGTCTGGCTTCCGTAACTGCTTTATGCTTCTTTGAACTTGATAATTAGTTTGGATATGGCCTACTGTATTTCATTGCTTTTGCAATGCAAGTTAATCCCTGGTACTTTTACAGAGGAAAAATAATGCTACTAGGGTTATCATTCTGGGATGTAGAATCTGGCAAAAATCTGTATGACAATATGCATTGTTCAATTTTGAAGAAAAGCTAATGAAAACATAATGTAGAGAATTTCATATGAGTATCACGATATTACTGCAAAGGCTGGCCAAAAGAGGGTATGTGGAGAACACCACCAACTAGATGCACCAGAGCTTCCTTGGCACACAAGAAAACAGAAGGTGCAGACTCCAGCCAACTTGTCTCAGCTAAGCAAGTCCTGAATAAGCAGAAGGTTCAGATTGCAGCCAAACTCCCTCAACTGAAGTAATCTTTAAATGCTGGGTGGGGAGTAGTGCCAGAAACACTGCTAATGTAAAAAAATCCATTCCAGAAATAAATCTACTGAGGAGATACTGATCATATGATATTGTCTGCCTGGTCTTGTGTATCACACATGATCAGGGCTTAGGATGTGCATCTTTTGAGGCTTGATCTTACACAGAACCAGAAGGAAGCTAATGATTTGTATGTTATAGGCCAAAGAAGCTTATAGGGAGATCCAATTTCCAGGTTGCTTATGTGCTATCTATACAGAAATCTACAGGTCCATAAACACACACACTTTGAGGCTCAAAGACACACAGAAAAACTGGTCTTAACACAAAGAATACACTGAGGATTAAGGATCAGTGAAAGATACCAAATGCAGATGATCAGGAATACCAAATTGTTTCAGTGCATAAGTAAGTCCCAGCAAAGGCTCTGATATGTGCATGCACTGTTATGGGCAGCAATGGGTAAGAATTTCCCCAAAAAAAGTGTGCAAAAGAGACCCAGTACTTTGACAGTGTGCTGGTCTGGCTGGAGTAAATTTTCTTCACAGTTGCTGGCATGGGGCTATTTTTTGCATTTGTGCTGGAAACAGTGTTGATAGTTCAGGGATGTTTTTGTTACTGCTGAAGAGTGCTTACAGGGTCAAGGCCATTTCTGCTCCTCACACTTCCAGCAAGTAGGCTGGGAGTGCACAAGAGGCTGGGAGGGGACATAGCCAGAACAGCTGACCCCAGCTGAGTCACAAGATACTCCATACCATATGGCATCATGCTTGGCAACTAAAAAAAGGGGGAAGAAGGATGGGGATGTTTGGATTTATGGTCTTTTGCCTTGCCAAGTAACAGTTACACATGAAGGAGCCCTGCCTTCCTGGTGATGGCTGAACACCTGCCTGCCAGTGGGAAGTTGTGAATTAATTCCATATTTTGCTTTGCTTGTGTGCATGGCTTTTGCTTTACCTATTAAACTATCTTTATCTCAACCCCTGAGTTTTCTCATTTTCACTCTTCTAATTCTCCCACTCTATCAGGAGTTGAGCGAAGGGTTGTGTGTGGCTTAGTTGCCAGCTGGGGTTAAGCTACAGAAGTTATGAAAAAGTCAAAAAAGTTATGTTAGGTAGAACATAAACTCATCTAAAAACCTGATGATGCCTGAGATGGCAAATGCACTGATGTGCAACAAGGCTTTGTCCCTATTGCTAACAAAAACAAATCGGAGACAACTTTCTGTTCTTCACGTCAAATGGCACAGCATGACCTGATCTCGCCTGCAAAACCAAATTGGTTGTGTCCACACTCACCAACGGTAATGGTTCTTGTTACCCTTCTAACTGTGCTCTGAAACTGCGTGGCAATATGCTTTTTGCTACGAGTCCAAATCGTGCCATAAGTGTGTTAAAATTCAAGCAGTATGGCCAGCAGTGGGACAGTGTGTGAACTCTTGCACAGGTACAGGTTTATTTACAATCATAGCCTGAGGGAGATTTCTGCACGAAAGGGCCAAGAAGTGGGGGAAGACACTTTGCACTGAAATATTATGGTGGTACAAACCCACTAGATGACATACATTTCCATGTGGCAATCCCCATTTCAGATGGAAAAGATATTTTTTTATACCCCAAAGTGTTCAGACATCAAAACTCTTCTCAACCCATACAGGGTGGGCAATGTTCCAGCTGACATCCCTTGATGCTCACTCATACCTGCTACCACTCAGAGTAGACACAAATGTAACTGAGTAGCTTCCCTTTAATTTTTCTTTTGGGAACTCTGATGAACATCTGATATTAAAAAGACCACAAAGCACTGCATATATGGTTCTCTTTTCCTCAATATTCCTGAGAAAGAGCCAGACATAGAGTGATAAAAGCATGAGCAAATGAAAGCCAGCTGTAAGTTAAAGTTCACACATAGCTACGAAGAATCACAACTGATGTCTTAAAAAATGCTCTAGTATATTTAGGATATCACTGTGGATCACTATTCTCTAGGCAAGACTTTTACAAAGGTAATATTTTATGATAGTATATATTTGAGATTAGGATGTCAAGTTACAGTCTTATTCACCTGATAAGGTGGGAAGTAAGTTAGCCATCTTTCAATATGTGTAGCATACAATCCTGGTGATAGGCATCTCTTTTGTAGAGCTTTAAGCTCAGATGGTGCTCGAGGTCCAGCTGTGATCACTTGATAGAAGCTGAATTTTAGAGCTGCAGGATCTTCATGTGATCGCTGATGCTGTAAAAGAAGTTACATTGCTGGAACTTTACAGACCACAAAAATTGGGCAAGTAAGACAAAACTGGTAGGTATCGCCTTACTGAAAAAACCTGCTTAATCTATCTTGTATTTTGAGCATGAACTAGATAACTGTGTCTATAAACTAAATTTGTACAGGCTGATTACATAAATTAACTGAGTAAATAAGCATTTTTGCATGCTTGTATTACCATTTTGAAAAGGTGGCTTCTGGCATTTTAACCCCTGAAAGATTTTCAGGTTTACCCTGACAGATACCTCAGCCCATGGGTGATCATATGCGGTACACTGACTGATGAGTAAAAGCTGGTATTACGCAAACCCTTTATATACATATATCCTGAAAGGATATACAAGGAGGAGTCAAGGTGAAAACCTTCATTTGTACCTGCCCGTGTACTTCAAAATGCATACCTGATACCAGGAATATGCCCGATCGGATGGGTCAATGAGGATGGTGATGATCTTGGCCTTGGGGATCAGGGAAGCAGCTCGTTTAGGAGCTTCCTCAGAATGGAAATAGTTGGCACTTTTTTCAAAGAGGAAGTCAGTGGTGACATTAGAAGGAGTGGGGAAGAAATCCATGTACCTAGGAAAGTAATATCATTCTCAGAATTACTTTCAAGTCACACAAAGGTTGAAAAATCTGTTATTTTATATAAATATATTTTATTCTAGAATAATCAATTAAAATAATAAGCCTCATTGCCAAATAAAAGCAAACAGAAGCTTATATTTTATTTTTTATCATATTGTATTTGGTACTTGCTTTCTTCTCATTACATAAACATTGCAGTTAATTGAGTAATATGCTCAAAGTTGCATTCAAAAACTGCTACAAAGCTGCATAGCTATTGCATCTCACATGCAGACTGTATGTAAAAAAGCTGAAATTAGAGGATGACCAAAGAAAACAGAATGAAAGGATGCTGCTGCCCTGTTAGTTTATTAAGTGTTCATATCTGCCTAATGCAAATATTTCAGAATGTGATACTGTTTCACTGAACAAACAACAGACTCTATTTCCCAAAAATATTACAGCTGATTTGATGGAAGTGATGAAGCTATACCAATTTCTGCTCACAAATGAAATTATCAGAAACTAATGACTCAGCCTGTGACCTCAGAATGTTTTACCAGAAATTGACAGCAAAGAAGGCAGATAGCTTTGAAAGAGGCAATAAGCACTACAGGCAAATCTGCTCTAGATCATGTATGCTGTCATTACACTGTTGTACCGAAGTCCTGGTAGTAGAATGAGTAAGTACAAAGCAGTGAGGACTACAACCTTGTAAGGAAACACTTCATATTAAATATGGTACTACAGCAAATTTTGGGAAAAAAGTGAATTGATTCTTTAGATATCACAGCAAATTTGGAAACAAAAAGTAGAAATTCACGTGGTGTCACTGAAAAATGGTAAAGAGATTGGACCAGTGGGATACCAAGAGGTTATGAACTTTAAGCTCAGCATTTCTGCTGAACACATACTTCAGAACTCTTGCTCAGTATCTCATTCATGAGACAACTATTAAACTCAACAAAGGCAAAGCTGAGAAGGCTTTAGAGAAACTTGTCTAAGAAATTTGTAATGAAATGCATGACTGGTCTATTTAGACTTCTCCACTTCAAGAACAAAGATCAGTTCTCATCTTACTCTTCTCTCATCTCTATGGGGAGACTACAATGTACATCCATACGTCTTTCAAGATGGCAGTACTGAGTTTGCCAAGGTCTGAAAGAACCGTCTTCTGCTTCAGTAGTTAGCCTTGGTCTAAATGTAAGCTTGGACAATGACTAAGTCAGCATCAGCTCTGGGAGAAAGCTGTATCTCCACAACCATAGAAGACATTGAGCTGACTGTTATAGAATCGTAGAATGGTCTGGGTTGGAAAGGACCTTGAGATCATCTAGTTCCAACCCCCCTGCCATGAGCAGTGACAATTCACACTTGATCATATTGCCCAAGGCTCTGTCCAACGTGTCCTTGAACACTGACAGGGATGGAGCACTTACCAGTTCTTTGGGCAGCCTGTGCCAGTAAAGAACTCACAGTAAAGAACTTCTTTCTTATAACTTACCTGAACTTCCCCTGTTAAAGTTTAAACCCCTTGTTCTATCACTACAGTCTCTGATGAAGACTCCCTCCTTATAGGCCCCCTTCAGATACTGGAAGGCTGCTATGAGGTCTTCACGCAGCCTTGTCTTCTCCAGGCAGAAGAGCCCCAACTTTCTCAGCCTTTCTTCGTATGGGAGGTGCTCCAGCCCCTGATTATCCTTGTGGCCCTCCTCCAGATTTGTTACCTATGAATACTCTTGCTTTGAAAAAGTCCCAGGCAATTAACGGACTAATGAGGAGATATCTATGATTCTATGATCTTGTATCTAATTATCATTTGGTAAGCTCATTTCATGCCAGCATTAAAATATACTATCAGACTGAATGTCTGAGAGATTTGCCTGGCAGCCAGAATACAAATCTAAGCGTTAAGTAACTGCACCAATGGGTAGTTCTGAGTATCCAAGACTTAACTGTTAGAAGCTGGCAGAGGTGAGTGGGACACATAGTCCAGAGGTACAGATAGCCAAATGGGTGCTATAGAGTGCGAACCTGGACCATACAGGTTGACCACTGGGAGCTTTATGCACCAATGCTGTGTTAAGGTTAAGGTAATTTAGCAGAAGTCTAGCAGCTAAATTGTATCTACTCGTCAGGAAAGTGAATATGGCAGGAGGAATGAGAGAAGCAGCAAAGTGGTCTTCTAGCAACATGAAAACATGCATTTTGTGGAAGAATTGGCTCACTGTACTTAGGCTGTCTCCTTCAGTGTGTACCTGCTACGCGTTGCTTGCATGTCATCTTCACTGACTTGAAAATTTCAACAGGAGGAAGTCAGCTTTCTAATTTCCAGTCATTTAGATGGCATCTCTTTATTCATAGTAACTGGCTGACTCACCACTCTTTGCAGTAAGAATCTGCTGCAACAATTGTAACTGTAAAAACTAAGTGACTTAAAACCAAATTGGATCTGATGTATCTACAGTAAGACCATATAACAGTGTTCACCCTGTTAATTTCATGCATGAATACAAAGCCAAAGGCTATCTTCCCTTAAACTGGGGGGTGGGGGGTGGTGAGAAAGAAGACAAAACATCAGTTATCTTTTACTGGTGCTCCCCAACCGTTACAGCATGCTACTGCTTTTCATCTTGTAGTGCTTTAGACCGCAGCGCTTTCTGAAAGCAAGAGAAATCAAGAATGACCTTTTGGGTGTAGCTATGTCTGGTGATACCCTGGTAGTAATAGAACATGGCAGGAGTGATACGTATTCTTTTTTAGTACCACTTACTAAACCTGCAGAGACACTAACATTCTCCTTATTACCTGATCCTTGAAAAACATTTTGAAAGGCTTTCCCTGTCCCGCTTTTGCCTGATTTGAGGAAAAAAAAAAAAATCCACTTCCTGGTATTATCTTAAGAAATAAGATTTCCAACAGGAACATAATTTTGCATACATATATCCGAGTAACAACCATTACTTTCCCAAGTTCAACAGCACATGTAATGAGCAATATATATTACGTTACTGTTCTGCATATATTAATAAATGGATATTTACAAAAAAGCCTGACAAAATGACTGCATTTATGATACTCAGTAATAAAATTGATATTTAGCTGCATTTATCATTTTAGAAGGACACTGATGGTCTTTTATCTCACTCTCTATGTAAACCATTACTAACGCTAACATCTTTTCCGTATTTTTCACAATATATAAACTTTTATACTAATAACCCATCTTACCAATCAATCCCCCTGTGGTAGTTATTTCTATTAAAGAACTGTACCTCCTCAAAGGTATTTGGGCTGGGGGAGTTACTAATGATGGAAGGATGCATGATCAGGAACAAATACAAGGCTGTGGTACCTGCAAACAGGATACAAATCCAAGATTAAAGAAAAAATAAATTAACACATACATTTTTTTGGAGAGGTTTTACTCCTAGACGGAGTACCAGTGTTATTCTATTTCATTTCAGTGAGAGGATGCTGACCGATGTCACCTAAGAATCTGTGCTTTCTGTGCTTTTAAATTGAAGACATATAAAGAACTGCAGATAGTTAACACAGAAACAGGAGTGTCAATGCAGAAATCTGCTTTTCACATTTTTAATAACTGTGTTTTAAAAAACATTATTATTTTTTATAAGACTGTCACAAAAATAATTTAAAAATTTTGCAGTCAGTAGCTACTGGGGATTGCAAATCAAACTGCCCTTTGGGAACTTCTTGACTTGAAAAAATGCTATGAAATAACAAGTTTCTATAAACAAGACACTTGCGGGACAGATGGGAACTTGCAGTAAAGAATCTACAGTTTGAAAAATGGCTGTCCTTTTGTCCTTCCGCATCAACAAGATCTTGTCTATCTTGTTGATATCTTTATCAGTGTTACTCATTTTGACAAAAAGCCAAAAAAACATGACACCTGAACCTTGCATTTTCAATATATGTAATGTCTGTTATTGTAATTTACATTATTATGCTGTATTTGAATGATATCTGAAAAGTAAATTATGCTATTAGATGATCTAGATCTCTGCACAGTAGTCTCAGTAAAAAATAATTACTTCGTATAATTATTTGAACTTACACACAGTCTACCTTGTTGAAATACAATAAAATCTCACCAGTTTTCTGGGGTCCTACAACCAAGAATTTTGGTAATCGATCACAGGTTTTTTCTTTCGACCAGATATCTTTGTGCCGTTTGTCATCACAGGGATTCTAAAACAGAGAACAACAACTAAGAAATTCATTGGTAATCAGATTTTTTACTAATGTACTATTACTCTTACCTGAAAACATTATTTTCCCTTATGACAGAAACCCACGCTATGTATTAAATTATTTCAGTGATTCAGAAATGTATCTGCAGTGTAACAGAGCCAGAAACTGTATCTCTTAAGTGTTTGGTTGGGTTTTTTTAATGAGACAAGTAAGTTGAAGAAATGTAGTTTTCATTCTACATGTATATAGTTGTCCTGGCTATCCAATAGACCCTGCGACAAAATAATTTATCCTATGAAATGTCAGCATGTTCAGTGGAATTGTGACGAAGACAATCTGATCCCATACCTTAAGTTGTGGGAATAATTTCAAAATCAATTGTTCAATTACATACAAGATAGGAAGGCTTGAAATTGCCTTGAATAGTTATCTAGTAATTGGATTGAATAGTTATGTAGTAATTGAATTAAATAGTTATCTAGTTATTGGCTTGAACAGTTATCTAGTTACTGAAGTTTTCTTTTACATTACTGTAACAGCTACCATCCTATCCATGCTGTAGTTTTTAAACTGAAGGAATAAATGAATTATAATTTGTCTTCCCATTCACAAATACATATTCTGATCCTCCAATTCAAATCAGTACGTAACACTTGGTGTTATGTAACATTACATAATTTACATTATTTACATAATGTTTATGTAAATTTACTTAACGGAATCTTGGTTTGTTTTTTTTTCATTTGCTGCTTTACAACTGAAGCACTTTAAACTTGTTTTAGAAATGCTACTTGCTAACAGTTTTTGATACTGTTGTTTAGCAGTACTGCACTAAAATGAAATTAAAAAAAAGAAGTAACTGCATTCAGATTCACATGCATTATAGACAACCCCCACCACATTCAGTATGTAATAGTCACTGTTACTTACAAAATGCCTTTTCTAAGTAATACTAATTTTTCAAGTCACTTGGCTACAGCCTGATTTCCATTTTTAAAATTAATTCTCTCAACATTATGCAAAATTCTTGAATTTTTTCCTCCTAATTCAATGTTTTATTCAATAACAGCATGAATTTCAAGATGTATATGTAAGTTCAAATTTGCAGTCTCACACTCAGATTCTAAGCTGGCAATTCAGTCTGCAGCACTAGAAGACATTTGAGTAAGCAAGCTTAAATACATTTTTTATGTTTGATTTAGTAAAGTTTGCTCCTTAGAATATTTCTAGCAAATACCCTCAACAGGGTGGTATTTGGCATACATATTGTCACTGTAAGGACACATGTACCTACAGCACTTGGACGTTTCACTGAATTGGTTGAACCGTCACTGAGCATATGCAAAAAAGAACACAACAGGGTTCACCACTTGCTGCGGTCGTTTTCCGTTAGGGCCTATGCTCTTAGTGCTGGATGAGGGACTGAAGATGTACCAACTGCATGGTCAGTGCAGGCTTCAGCCTTAGTGAGTCTTCATATTCCTGATATTTTCAATTTACTCACTTCTGAGTGCAGGATAATCAAGCAGCAGAGCTGATAACATCAATGTATGATGTACTGGTAAACCTGTTTGGGCAGTTCTCAGCCTTTTGTGAATAACTTTGCTATTTATCTAATCATTTTTACTTGGCTAGTCAGTTTTAACATTAAGGTAGCCACGGTCTCAATGCCCTTCTCTCTTTTTGGATGCCCTCTTCTCCTCATACCCTTTGAGAAAAGCTGATTTCTGTAATGGCCAATTGCTAAAATACGCATATACATTTCTCTGTCAAATGCTTCACTCCTGTAAGCTCCAAAAGGAGAAAAGAAATAACACAGTATGTCTTTCCTGCACCTCCTGCATTTTTAAAAGTAACAAATAAAAAGAAAGATAGTTTTAATTACACAGCTTAATACATATTAATTTCACAACCTTTTATGGAGATTTAAATGATGGGAAACAATCAAGTACACTGAAACATCAGCGAGGTGCTTTATGGAACCAACTAGCAAATCTATTAAATACTACTACTTTACTTTACAAGAAACAGAAGCAAAGAACTTCACAAAAACCACCATCAAGACGATCTTTTTTTCCAATCTCTTCATCATCAAACCCGCCTACCTGCCAGAGAGGGTCCTTCTGCTCAGGGAATAGTTCAAAATACTTGTGAGCCAGCTGAACCGGAGGAAGAGTTTGCAGTTTCAGGTTTGTCCAGGTATGAACAAAATTGGCCAGGTTCACAAAGGTGTATAATCCCAGGCGGTCGTTTCCGTAATTGGACAAATGTGTCATGAAGATGCTGATCTTTAGAAACAAAGAGAGCAGACAATGATTCTTTGTATCACTAGATGGCAGTGTGACCACAGATAACATCAATTTAAATTGCCTTTTGTTCTTGGCGCTGCAAGACTGATAACATTCACATAGATCTTGCTGTCCTTGCTCTTTGTTGAATTACGTCCTCTTTCTCAAGTCCATGCAATCGACGAAGAAAACTGGGGGATAGGTACTATGAACTCTGTGTGAACTAGGATATACAATCCTACCCTGCGGTTATACAACATGTAAATAATGTTTATGTAAATTTACTTAATGGAAAATACAACAAAAACAATACTCACAGAATTAATTCAAGTGGAATATAAATGTGATATTAAAAATGTGAATTTTGGTTCTGTGGAAGAGTAAAGAGTCAGAGACCAAGAGGACAGCTGACCTCTATTGCTGTGATTTAAACCTCATAGCTCCAAAATTTTGCAGGACAAGTAGCACATCTCTTCTACAAAATTATTCTACAAGCACTGGGCATACAGTCATATATCATATGCAGAAACAAACAAATAAAATCTGAAACCTGAGTGCTTTCAATTAATAGTGCATAAAATACAGGATTATCAGTTGTAAGGCTACATATATCTGCTCTTTTGACACCTTACTGTGAAAGTGCTACTTGGATAAATCCTCCCCACTACATCCTTTGCTCCAACTGCACTCTCAGGCTCCCAACAAAAGCAATACCTGCTGTGAAGGTTTCTCACAGGAAGGGCATGTTTGGCTACACCTAATCATGCCAGTGAATGGAGCAGGAATCCATAGACTGCAAGGATGGTCCCTCAGTGACTGAGGAAGGGCTGGGCTGAAGACTGACACATCTGTTTTGCAAAGTGATCGATTTTCACCGTAGTACCTCACTGATGAAAGTCTGTTCTTACACTAAAATCTGCAAATGCTTTTCTTTAGCAGTGATTTTTTTTTTTTAATAGAGCTTTCCACAGTGATTGTTTTTTTAATAGAGCTCTCCAAGATAATTTTTTTAGACTAATTTTCATTAAAACATTAGAAATGTGACTCTTTTTATAAGTAAATCTGCTAATGGCATGAATAGGCAATTTTTATTTAAAGTAAAACTTTATGTAAGCCACTTTAAAAAGAAAAAGGCTTATCACGACCACAATTGTGAAATTTGTTCAAGAACTGAAGTTAATCTTTTGTAAAGGAATTCCAGCCTTCAATTTCAAAAAGGAAAAAGAAAATAAAACATTGAATCTGTAGCTGTATTATTTTGTTTCAGAATATTTAAAACACTGGCTTCCTTTGATATTAAATGTTCAAAACTACCAAACTTTTATTTTTTGAACACCTAACTCTACCACTACAGAGTACTGAGTGGGAATTCACAGCCTGTGAAAGGACACAGAAAATGTGTTTTATTAATAGTGTCATTTGGTGACTCCTCTTGGCTTATAAAGTAAGCTGAGGGCCTCAGTTTGTCTGACTCAAGTAAAATTGGAAGATACACACAGCTAAATTATTAGGATGCTATTGTTCTTTTCAAATAAGACTGAGTTAAAAATAACCCAAACCCCCCTCGTTAAGTAACCAGTAATAAACATTTTGCTAAATATATATAACCATTTCAAGTTTCCTTTGTCATTTTAGTTCTCAAAGCAGTAACAAACCAGCTATAGATCTACATTGTTTTCAATAAAGATACAATTAGAGGGTTTCAACAAAAAAAGGTTAACTTGTTTTCTTGACAGCCTCTTTCTTTCTTTCACATGGGCTGACCTCTTACATTTATAATCTAAGTTCACATCTTGGCAACTCCTTACCTGCCAACATTTACAGCACTGCCATGGGAGAAAAAGCAAAAGAACTTGGAAAGATTTCTAGTGCGGGGAACATAAGCAGTATTTTTTTCCCTGAGGAAAATATGACCATAATTTTAAGAATGTCAGAGTGGAGACTGAAAAATTGATTTGATATAGTGTCATGAATAATTTCCAGCATATGAAACTGTGTCAACGAAGGGGGGAAATATATCATAAACCATAGTTCCCATTTTAAAGCTGTTGGTTTCTTTGGTTGGTTTTTTAATGTAAAATTCTTGATTATTTACCAAATACTGGTAAATCTTGTAAAGAAGTCCATACTTAGTGTAACTATATGGCATCAAAAATATTACAGATCAGCTGAAACTATGTTCCAGAAAAATCTGAACAAAAGGTTTCCTCCCCTGTTGATACTGTACAAACAAATTCCTAGTAAAATCACTATCAGCACCTGTGTAAAATTAGTCAACTACAATCCTGTGATTTACAGAACAATGAAATATTGCTGATCCAGGGCCCAATTCACCTGAGCTTACCTGAGAAGAACTAAGTTTTGCCTCCAGCTGCAAAAGGTCTGTACAGGCTAAGCTAGCAGCCTGTGTAACTAACAGGAGCCTGATGCTGCAATGGTCTCATTCCCATTAGTCTGAGAAGGATCGTGAACCACTCTGCACACCAGGGATCCCTGTGAGAGGTGGCTTACAGTACACGAGGCCAACCTGCCAGGCACTCTCTCATACTCTAGGAGCATTCCTGCGAGTTTGTCAACAACAGCTATGCAGCCATGGCACTGGGAGAGATGTGCAAGCTGATCCTCTGGTTTCCCTGGCTACGAAGAGAAAATGATATCCAAGTGCCATTTTGAGGGACTTCACCTTGGCGCTGGCCCAGCTGCAAGGGATGGTGTGTTGCTACCCACTTCCCTGCTTTCCCACCAAGCTTGCAGAAGGATGGAAATGCATATCATTACCACTCCATTTGCAGGTGGGCAGTTTTATATCAACACAAAACATAATTACCGCTTTTTGTCTTCTGTACTGAGTTATGACACTTCGTTTTGCTCAATCATATCACATTGTTTCTTTCGAACAAGTTCTAACTAACGAACATGATTACTCTTTCTGTGTCAACTAACAGCACACTCTGCTATTAAATATTCTCTTAAAACCACTCTTGAACAGATATAGAAATAATTCTCTGTGGGCATCTCAGAAGACCAGATCTAGTAAATAACACTATTTGTTCAATAATCTTGCACCTCTGGGAAATGCTGTAAAATAGAAATAGAGCTTCATATATTTCTTCATTCCTTCTTCAAAAGGGAAGCAGCTGTGAATGGATTTATATTTACTCTAACAAGCATTTTAGCCTCCCTTTCAGTTAAAAAGAGCTTATTTGACTTCATTATTTCCATCCTTCTACCAAAATAATTTCCTTCAGGGCATCTCAGCATTTTCTTTATCTCAGTGAGAAAAGGATCACCCTTTTTAGTGGTTCCTCATAAACAAACTATCATCTTGGTTACACTTCAATGCACATTTTCCACAGGATTCAGTATCTTTCATGAGGGGACTGAAAAGAATGCACGCAATTTTTAAAATGATGATTTGGGACTAAGTCTGGCCTCTGGGCAGCAGCTCCTTTCTTGCTCCCACACATTTTCAGATCAGAAGAGTAAAAGCACTTTCCTGTACTCTGCCTTCACATGGAGTTTTACAGACAGCTGTACGACCTCCTCCTTTCAGCTTTCCCTCAGCATTTCCTTCCCCAGAATGAAAGGGTAGAGGCTATTTCTGTTTGCCCTCTTTCCCAAGCCCTGATTTTTTTTTTTTTTTTTTTTTTGCAATTCTGACTAGTACTGCAGAGGTGTAGGGAAATGAGTACAAGCACTCAGGAGAAACAGCCTTTACCTTTCTGAATGCTCATTCTATGCTGCGTATCTCCTTACTACAACAACCTTTCTCAATTAGAGGTAATAGCTTCTAGGTCAAGAAATTAGAGTTGAGACTGAAACTGAGTCACTGCTATTCAATCATGTGTATCAAGAAAAGATGAACCAGCATGATCTAACTTACATATCAGGAACAGAGAAAACAATAGATGATTGACAAACAAAAAGAAAAAATGCAACAAGTTGCCCAGCTTCTAGTGAGGGATGTTATTTTTACAGGCTCTATATCTTAAAACATATTGACCACTACAAAATCAAAACTACTATGATGCTGCACCTATTAAAATTACACAGTAAGGATGCTGCTAAGCATCTACAGTCTTGATAACTTCTTGTTGGTTTCCTGACAAAAACAGCCTGCTTCCCAAAGTAACGACATTACCCTTAATTCCCAAGTGTGAGAAGCCCCTCTTACCAGGTTTGTGCAAGGTTTGCGTTTCTGGTTTCTTCCCCCTCAAGTCAAGTGGTCTCTATTTTTTGGAAAGATAGGGATGAGAGAAACCATTCAAGGATAGTGGTAAATACTTTCCCCTCCTCCCCGCCCTTCTTCTTACCAAGTTCCCTGTGATGGTCTAGAAGGTCAAATTATAAAGCTTCTCTGTGTTGGGACAGGAGTGATTTATGGTAAGCTAGACTAACTGCTCTGATGGAAAATAACAGTGGGTATCTTTGTGCTGGGCAACCTGCAAGTATTCCCACTCCCTTCCATACGTCCTGATAAGCAAAATGTACCTGGCTTTGTATTTAAATTCCATTTTACACAAACATTTTGCAGATGAACAGATTGCACTTATGCCCCACTATTATTCTTCATATTCCTTTTCTCTTTATACCTCTTGAATGGCATTCTGCATCAGGAGGACTTTCTGATTTGGTTTCAGTTACAGTAATAATGCAGGAAAGAAGTGGTGATGTCTACGGAAGAGTGAAACAAATTAAGCACAAAAACCTCTAGAACAGTGACAAGCCTATAGAACAGTAGTCCACTAAGCCACTGGTCTCCAAACTTTTTTTAGGGGCACACACTTATCTGTAAAAATTATCTGAGCATGCATGCCCAAGGTATGTATATTTATCTATAAGCTATATACTTGTTTAACACTGAAGCTCCAACATGTATTATTCTCCCACTTTGGAGACCACTGCATTAAGCTGTTGGGTTTGGACTGTGATCCGAGAGCAGAGAGGACTCCCTTTTCAGAAGGCAGCTCTACGTTCTTTGGCAGGCATCAGGAAAGGCA